TTTTATTTTTTGGTTATTTGAGACAGGGTCTCACTATGTAGTTGAGACTGACCTAGAACTCAATGTGTAGCCCAGGCTGATCTTGAACTCACAGTGATCCTCCTGCCTCAGCCTCCCAAGTGCTGGGATTACAGGTGTGCGCCACCACGCCCAGCTCTACCTCTCCTTTTATAGAATGTAAGCTCTGTGAGGACAAGGAGTTTGTCTTTTTCATTCATTATTTTGTCCCAGTACCTGGAACAGTTTGCAGTGCCTAAGAGATACCCAGAGAACATTTTCAAATGAATAAATAGATGTGCTTCTTTAATTTCTGATTGTACCTGTCTCCTTCTTAGTGATTATCCACTCATCAGTTTCAAAAGGCTAATGGACCTTTTCTTATTCTCATTCAGTGAAACTTGTTAAAACACAGTAAGGCAGACTGTTTGGGTCTTGATGGGCTTAGGGGCCACAGCAATGGGCCGAGATTGGACTGAGCTCTGATATAGTGTGAGCAAGTTCATTCCCCAGCAGTGGTGAAAACAAAGTTAAGCAGAAAGAACTTTGTCCTGTTAATTGAAATTGCCTGTTTGGGAAACATGTCTCATGTCTCTCTTGATTTCTCAGAAGGTTGGATAACAACCCAGTTTTGGTTGTGTGATGTGACGGCTTCAGTCCCAGTGACTCCATTGTGATGTTTACTCTGCTCAGTGCAAGAACACAGTCCAAAACAACATCCTGCTGTGGTTATTACCTAGTAAGATGTGCCTGTGGTGGACAGAGCCTCTTAGGATGGCACTCAGTATCCTATACCCTAATCCCCGGAACCTATGGCTATGAAGAAATATTATTCTGTGACTGTTACATAATGCAGCTGATCTTGAAAAAGGGCGGTTATTTGGATTGACTCAGTCTCATGATAAATACATGCGCAAAACATTCCATTCCACAGTTACAGATTCTTTGCTGGACTAAACTTTAGACAGGCCTGTGAATCCTCTCCTAGACCTATTTGTGCAGTTTCTTGTAAAAGTCAGTGTTAGCAAAAGCCCAGTTAAACAGTTTAGCAAGAGACTCCGCCCTCCACAGTATCTGATCAGTATCTGATCAGGTTCCCCTTTCACCACCACCCTCCAGGTGATGTCTTCAGCGAGAATCCTGGAGCCTGGGTTAGTCATGGGGCCTTTTACCTTTTCATCCGTGCATCCTCTCCCTCTCACGTAGCAACAGCCTGTTCCTCTGCAGTAAGGATTGTCTCAGTGTGGCAGCGAGCTCAGATGGATTAATCTCTCTAGGTGCAGTGGCCAGTGTTGAGTGCTTTGTTTGCCTGCCTGTGTCCAATGACCAGAGAACCTAAATTAAGTTCAGAATTAACATCTGCATTTCTAAGCCTGTGCAGTAAAATTCAGCATTCTTCTTTGGGCCACCAGCCCTACTGTGTGGCCTAGGCACACCTACCAGCCCTACTGCTGAAACGTTGCAATGGCACACGTTCTCTCCTCCCCTTCCCTCTCCTTTCCTTGTGTGTGTTTGGAGTCTTGCTTTGTAATTCAGGCTGGCCTTCAACGCATGGTGATCCTTCTGCCTCAGCCTCCTGAGTGCTGAGCTTGCAGACGTAAGCCACCATGTCCAACTCTTCATCAGTTTAAGCACTTAAAACCTTACCCCAAACTGTTTTTTTTCCATGAAGCCAATATACAGGTTAAATCTCTTACTTATTAACACTGTACTAAACAGCTATCCTCATTTAATATCATTTTTTATCCTTGATTTGTGAGTTTTGTACATTGTGTAATTACTAACTATGGAAGCAGCAGTGATGGTCACTATTAGTTATCACCTGGCTTTATAGAACACTTTGTGGTTATCTTTTTGGTCCCCCACGATGTGCTTCATTTTATCATCGGTAGTTGTCCTTCCCATCGTGTGTTGCATGGGGGTTACTGTGCTGTCGCTATACGGTACATAGATTTTAGACCTATTTTACTGTAGTAGACAGACACCAGGGAGATGAAATAACTTGCCATCATCTGTTACTTTCTCAAGAGTTTTGGGTGAGGCTACAGTCACAACTTAATACATGTGTATGGCTTCTGAAAAGATTTTTAAAAGTATAATTTACAGTAAATTTCTTAGTTCTTCTTTTGATGCTCTTTTAACAACAAACTTCTGTATGTTTTAAACATCTTTTTTCGGGGGGATTCTGGGTTTGTTTCTGTTACAGAAGTCATTCCAGACTGGAACAAATACACGTCTAGATGAACGCATTTTTGCTATGTGTCAGGTGAAAAACCAGCCCTTGGTTTACCTTATGCTCACGACACATCCCAGTTTGTACAGAGTTGACACTTTGTCCGATGAGGTAACGTTGGCTCTATTTTTAAAAACACTTTTTTGTTGTATTTTGTAAACTAACAGACAATAAGTGGTTCCTTTTCTTTTTAGTGGGGTTTTCCTTGAAGATTTATAAGCGTAACCATATTCAGTCCAGTGTAAAAATGAGGAAGGATTTGCTTGTTTAAGCTTTATATTTTATTTATTTGGAGATTTATATGAAAAAATTTGGTTTAGGGATGCTCCTGAAAACAATGCCTTTATCTGAGGTTGCTAAGACAAATCTCTAGAGGAGAGTTCAGAAATGGGGAAAGCGTCAGATTGACAGAGCAAACTGTTATATATTTATTTAAACACACTGATTGGAAAGGAGCATCCCACGAGTAAATTATGTCTGAACACCTGAGGTCACTGTTCAGTGAAATACTGTCTTTGAGTTAAGAAAAAAATATTTATCTAATATTGCTTTTGATAGGAAACTTACCAGCATTAATGTTATAAGCATGAAAATGTGAAATCATAGTCTTTGTAAAATTGTCAAGATACAAACATATGAAATAATATTTTGATAATCTTTGTAAAATCATGGTTCAATTATATGAGGCTGGGCATGGTGGCACATTTCTGTAATCCCAGCACACAGAAGGCTGAGGCAGGAGGATCACTGTGAGTTCGAGGCCGCCCTGATCTTAAGGCTGGCCTGAACTACATAGTGAGACCTTGTGACACACTCGCAAATTAAAAAAAAAAAAGAAAAAAAATGTGTGTGTGTGTGTGTGTGTGTGTGTGTGTGTGTGTGTGTATTTAAGACCAGAAATAGGGCCGGGAACTTCAAGGTCCTGAGTTCAATCCCTGGTAGTGGAAAAAAAAAAAGACCAAAAGTTAATTTGGCTTCCTTGAGATTCCTAGTTATTTTGTTCAGATGAGTGGTAGTAAATATTTCTTCATCTTTTCCATATTTAATTATGAGTAACTGCTTTGTTTAAATAAGTAAGGCTTGGAGGTAACATTCTGTTTATGTTTGTTGTTTTTTTTTTGGTACAGGGGATCAAACTTGGGTCCTTGAGCTTGCAAGACAGGCGATGGAACCACTGAGCTAAATCCCTGGCCGTTATTGTTGTTGAATCGTGATTCTGTGTTACCTGTATCTAACAGCTTTAATTTTTTGCCTAACTTCTCAGGGAGCATTGAACATCAATGACAGAACCATACCTCAGCCTCCTGTCCTTCAGCTCTCAGTGGAGAATTTGAGCAGGGATGGTGCTTTCCTCATGGATGCAGGCTCTGTGAGTTGTTGGCGTGTCCTGACCTTCCTCACCGCGTGGTCCTGCACCTTTTTAGCAGTGGGCCTCACTTCTTTCAGTGTCTATCTTTTTGAGCATATGACAGACTCTGTAACCTGTGTGTATGTGTGCCCGCCCCTTGCTGTCTCTCTGGCCTCCTTGTCATGCCCTGCATACATCTCACCAGTGTAAGTGCTAGTTGTTACTAGTTCAGTCACAGGCTGCGCAGTCTCACAAAATATACTCATCCTTTTGTTCTCTTAACATACTCAGTGGCAAAGGTGACTCCGACTATGGGCTGTCTGTCAAATAATTTTATCCTTATTCACAGGTACTGATGCTTTGGATTGGAAAAAACTGTGCACAACATTTTCTCAGCCAAGTTCTAGGAGTTCAGAACTATGCATCAATTCCACAGGCCATGGTAAGACTCTTACTGATTATGAAGACTTAAAACACATTCCAAAGAGGGCAAAAACACTACTGTCACAGTTGAAATCGGAAATTAACACTGCAGATTTTTGTAAAAGAGAAAAATGAAAAGAAACACAAGTTGTGTTTCTTTTCTCACTAAACATCCTCTTTTTATGGGTGTGTGTGCATGCGTGCGTGCGTGCGTGCGTGCGTGCGTGTGTGTGTGTGTGTGTGTGTGTGTAGCTGGATGCTCCCTGTGTGCACCAGGCAAGCCTCAAGCTCCCGGGGTCAGCCGTCGTCCTGTCGCAGCCTCTGGGGGAGCTGGGACTCCGAGCCTGTGCTGCCATTGGCACCTTGCAGTATCCTACATTTTAATGGTGCTCTTTCTGTTTATGTGCATGGTTGACTTGTCAGTCTGTTCATACGTGCGTAAAGAGGGTTGTGTGCAACTGTAATCCCAGCTGTGCTGGCGGTTGAGGCAGGAGGACTACAAGTTTGAAATCAGCCTGTGCTAAACTGAGACTTTCCAAAACTTTAAAAAGTTTTAGAAAATAAAATAAATAAATAAAAGAGGACTAGAGGTGTGGGTCCATAGTAGAGTAGCCCTGGGTTCAAATTTCCATCATCAGAAAAATAAAAGGGGTGGAGACGTAGAGCACTTCTTGATTCAGTCCCCAGTACCACACATGCACACAAAGAACACAATACTCTGTTGGGTGGAGAAAACAGTGACCCCCTGCCCCCCAAAAAAGTTTGCTGCACATGGCGTTAGTGTTATGGCTGTGTGTGTGTGTGTGTGTGTTTGCCAGGGAATTGCTTGTTCTTTGACAGAGTCCTTACACTATTGCTTTGGAGTAGGAACTGTCACAGTGGTTTACCTAGCAAATGACATCATCGCCTGTTAACGCTGATCATCATCATCATTATTATTATTATTTTGTTTTGTTTTGTGAGGCAGGTTCTCACTATGTAGTTGAGACTGACCTGGAACTCACTATGTAGCCCAGGCTGGTCTCGAACTCACAGCAATCCTCCTGCCTCAGCCTCCGGAGTGCTGGGATTACAGGCGTGCGCCACCACAACCGTCCCAAATTAATGCTGATTATTAAAGAAAGTAGTAATGGACCTTTGTCACTAGTTGTGTGATCTTGGACAAGTCACAAAACAGGCTCATTTGTAAAATAGGGCTGCTCTTGTTTATGAAGAAATAACTGAAGTATTCCAGAAGAAATTACTTATAAAATAATATAGCATTTGGGTAGTTTTGAATTTTAAAATTGAATTAATAATAGACAGTTTTATTTAGTGTTACTTTTCAATCCCTACTGCCAGTTTGTATCCAACTTGAGAATATGTGTTCTATTTTCTCACTTTTTTTCCTCCCTGTACCAGGGATTGAACTCAGAACCTTGTGCTTGTGAGGCAGGTGTAGCTAGCACCACTGAGCTACATCCCTGGCCCTTTATCACTTTTGCATGTTGATGGGTTCTATGACTGCATTCTTAGAAATCATCAGGGAATTCATGTATTTAAGAAGATAGGTCAAGATTCCAGTTAGGATAAGCACTAGCTCTCAGGCCTGGAGCAGAGCCCCTAGCCTGGATGAGTAGGCATTTCAGGTAATTGTGTGTATTGTCTGTGGTGTGGTTTCAGCTGAGACCTAGTGTGACCCCTGAGCCAAACCAGTTTACATAATTCAATTAGATATTGTTGGTTTTGTTTAACAGACAGACCTTCCAGAACTTGATACCCCAGAATCTTCCAGGACACTAGCTTTCATCTCTTGGCTTAGAGAGCAGAGGCCATTTTTCCCAATACTTCATATAATAAGGTAAGTTGAACTTTTCATTTGTAAAATAATTTGTTTGCCCTTGCCAAGGACCTCTTTTGAATTGCAGATACATGTGACTTAAGCAAACATTTCACAAGAATATAAAAGAGGGGGGTGTGGTTCAGTGGTAGAGCCTTTCCTTAGTATTGGCAAGGCCCTGAGTTCCATCCCCAGCATTGCAAAATTCTCATCCTCATCCTCATCTGGTAATTCTTCTCGGTAAGTAGTACTAAGGCGAGTCAGGCGTGGTGGCACGCATCTGTGATCCCAGCACTCTCTCAAAATAAAAAATAAGGAAGTATGGGTGGGGCTGGGGAGATGGCCCAGTGCAAAGGTCTTGGGGTCCATACCTACTACCCCTATAGTAAGTTATGCTTTATAACCAATTATTGGATTTACTAAATGTAATGAACTTTTTGGTAAAACACACCAATTTCTTCTAATTCCACTAAAAACGTTCACCCTTAAACATGAGGGTTACATAATCAACTAATAATCTTAGAGAAAGCCTCTAGAAGTAGGTATTTCTAGGGTAAATACCGTGATAGTTATCAACCCCATGACGAATCCACTATTTATTTTACTATTACATTTTATCTAACATAGATAAATAATACTGTTTTTTATTTCTAAGGGATGAGAGTCCAATGAAAGCAAACTTCCTTCAGAACATGGTAGAAGACAGAACAGAATCTGCGTTATCATATTATGAATTCCTCCTGCATATACAACAGCAAGTGAATAAATAAACGAAGAAACTTGATTTAGTTATTGCTAAGGAAATCACAGTAATGCAGAATTCCTGGGAATGTGTGATACCTTCTGGGAATGTGATACCTTCCTTTTCTATTTAAGTTTGTGAACTAATGGGATGATTAAGATGTTTTCACTGTGATTTCATCAAACTATAGCAAATAAAGGACCACAGCAGAGAATCAAACGTGCAACTCTGAAACACTATTTTTCAAATCAAAATATATCTAAATATGATTGGATACCTTTTTTCCTTTGCTGCCAATTATGTTTGCGTTGTTAAGGATGAGAATAAGATACAACATTGCAGAGGCAAAGTACATTTTGTAAAATAAAGACTTCTGTGTTCCACATGTATATTTCTCATTTTTTTAATTTTTCTGAATTGTTGGCTGCTACATTTAAAACCTCATAAGACTAAGTATTGCAGGGAAGTAAATCCACTGATAATGATCTTTTAAAATCATAAAATTTAAAAAAAATCAGAATTTAAAAGTAAATAAAATGTAGAACAACTAGAATTTGTTCCTCATTTTTGGTGTTTGGGTTTTTTTGTTGTTTTGGTTCCTTGTTTAATGTGGGGGAAGGTTATTGGCTAACACTTGGCTAGCTTGAGGAGAGTATGAAGAAATGCGCTGAAGCTGTCCATTCTGTCAGTATTCTCTGCACTTGAACAAAGGCACTGTGATGTGAAGGGAAAGCCAGCATTGGGCGGTGTTCTGATGTGCTGCGGAAGGTGTGAACATGCTGTTTTCTCTGCAGTGCAAAGACTGTGAGCTGTCTTCCTAAGTATATTGGGACTGGCGATGAAGCAGGGAGATGAGAAATTAGCTACCTTGATCCTGCAAGTGGGCTTTTGTTGGACATTTCTGCTCTGTGATACATAATAAAAGTATTATTTTGGTGAAATGAGGATGAATGAAGTAAGTTAAAAATATCTCGACTGCATCAGTAATATTTTTCTAAGGAGTTTAATAATTAAATTGGAAGCCACTCGTAAGAACTATTCTGGGATATTCAACCTATGAAAGCATGATTGCTGCTGTCCGACTTGATGGATATTAAGATTACACAAATCCAATGTATTGAAGTTTTGAAAGAAACTTGATTGCTAAACATGCTCACAAGACTGCTCTTTAAATTCAGCTAGAGAAACAGAACTATGAAGTGAGTCTTGTTTACAAATGGGTAAATTATACATCTGTATATTTAAAGTGCTGTGATACAATATCTTTAAAAGAGTTTGGCTCAGTTTTCATAGAATCACCTTGGGTGAACTTCTTAAGCTGTTCATGTGTAATACTTGATGAAACTTTTTTATAGGTTGGGAAATGTGTTTACAGTCTTCGTCTTACACGATCACCAATGAAACAGTAACTTTCAGGTTTACATCCACATGGGCTGACTGAGTTGTTGGGGCGGCGAAGAAGGTCCCTATGGAGTATACAGCTACTGCTTGCCAGCTGGATCGGAAAAGTTGGGTTTTATGAAAATAGGTTCTCCCTGAGCAGTGTTCAGATTTGCTGTCAGTGTGCAAGTGGTACACTGAGCTGGAAGTTTCCTGGAAAGTGGCTTCCTTTATTAGGAAGCAATTTTCAAACTCTACCAAATTGTTTATGTTTTCCTTTCTTTTTAAGAAACGGAGTCACTATGTACTTAATGTTTCTTTAAAATTTTCTTCTAACTGTGATTTTAAATACTGATATTTGTAGGTCCTTCCTGAGTAGTAGTAAGGACTTTCCAGAGGGAAACATTTGTGCTTCTGGGGTTATCTTCCTTGTGCCTCACTATATCCCTAAGTGGGTATGACTCTTCTTATTACCATATGTTGTGTTCGTATATTTCACAAATTTACTTTTAAAAATTATTTTAGATACTGTATAACATGTGCAATCCACAATAATTTTATAACAGGTCATAAAATACATAACTTTAGTTAGGATTCATAGTATTTGTTCTCCAAATAAACAAATGGACCTTTTGGGAATATTGCTATAAAACAATTATTTTTTGAAAAACTGTTGTTTAGTTTGATTTTTTTTTTTTTTTTTTTGCAGTACGGCACTACCTGCCTTATCATCCTGTATTACTTTTTGATGCAAAGCAACTAATATTTACACTATGCCATATTTTTTTTATTGTAGTTGTAAATTATGAAAGATTCTTGAATTTTCTACAGATCTACAACTACTCAAGTAACAGACAAGGGCAATCTTGGTATATAAATCTGAGCATGGCAGTTCTATCATAAGAAGTACTATATTTTTCTAATTTCTAGAATTTTTAAAATAACATTTCTGTAAGTCTCATACGAACATTCAACCAAGCAGTACCATTAATTTTAGTTTGCTTATATTTCCTCATTGTTTTCAATTTAATGTGATGTATTGAGTCCAATAGACTGTTTTGCAATAATTAGAGTAAAAGATTTATTTCTTCTAATCAAAGATGCCTAACAGCTATGATCTAGGGGACCACCAAATGTGATTTCAAGATTTTGTTAACTATTACAAATATAATCCTTATATAGACATTTAATTTTGTAAAGTAGTGTATAATATTGTAACATTAAATTCTTGTTCTCAGATGCAAATATGTATTGATCTTCAGTGTGCTGTGTTAAATCTTGCTCTCTGAAGTGAGACAAGGTTTGTCTTTTTACAGTTTGTCATGTCACTGTTTATTCCTGTAAAAACAGTCATCTGTAATCCATGCAAACAGTTGTTTGATCTGTGCTAACTTATCAGTTTGGCTATTCAATAAAGTTAATCGAAAGAGCTTACATTCAGTGACTGGTTCTTTAAAGTGATGGAGAGAACTTGTCAACCACTGAGTAATGCTATCTTCTGATTTGTGTGTGTATGTGCTGGGGATCAAACTCAGGTCTTTGTGCTTGCAAGGCAGGCGGCAGAACCACTGAGCTAAATCCCCAACATGAGTAGTGCAATCTTATGCATCCAAGTTAAGTGAAAGAAAAACTATTGTTGAAGGTGCTGTAAATCTAGGTATAAATCTAGGAGCTCATAACTGACTTTGCTAGGTAGGGCTCAAACCCAGGGCCTAGCTTGGTATGAAGTGAATAATGCTTCTGCCTCTGCCTCCTCCTCCTCTTCCCCTCCTACTCACTTTGTAGTTAAGACCGCCCTAAAACTCATTATGTAGCCCAGGCTGTCCTGCCTCAGCCTCCCAAGTGCTGGGATTACAGGTGTGTGCCACTACACCTGGCTGAAATGAATTCTTAATGCCCACTGTTGAGCTGGGTTTGAATTCTAGATTGAAGTTCATTAGAAGGTAATCTTAGCTTTTTTTTTGTTTGTTTTGAGACAGCGTCTTGCTTTGATGTTCAGTCTAACCTTGAGCTAACTATATAGCCCAGGCTGTCCTCAAAATTGCGACTACCACATATACCACTGAGAAGTGCTAGGAGGGATAATCAGTGAACTACAAAAACCCCACTGGGAAAAGTTCGCCCCAAAATAAGTAAGTATGGACATTGAATTTCTTTTTTGGTACCAGGGATTGAACTTGGGTCCTTGTACTTGTGAGGCAGGTGGCTGCACCACTGAGCTAAATCTCTGGTCCTAGAAGCTGAATTCTTGACCCTGAATTTAATGACTGAGCCATCAGGTTATCAACACATCTGTCTAAAAATCTGAAACTCATTTGGCTTCTGTGGATTCTCAAATGAGACAGCCTTATTTATCCTGGAGTTGTAGTTAGTTGACTTTGTGTATTAAAGGGGAGAACAGAGCTGTGGCTGAGTGGTAGAGCACTTGCCTAGCTGGTACAGGGCCCTGGCATTGATCCTCAGCACCAAAAATCAACAAAACAAGATTTAGAAAAGAGAAGGTACGTTGTTACTTGTATATTTATTCATTTCTTAAACATCTTTTAGGGCCAGGGATTTAGCTCACCTGCCTGGCAAGTACAAGGTTCTGAGTAAATCCTTGGTACCAAAAACAAAAAACAAACTTTTTTACTGTATATATTTATCATACATAATGGTCACATAGGGAATTCACTACAGGGAATTTTACCTATACATAATATGTCTTTTTTTTTTTTCTTTCCAGCCCTGGAAATTGAACTCAGGACCTTGGGCTTGCCAGTCAGGCATAGCATATAATGTATCTTAATTATTTTTTCCATTCTCCTCCCCTCCAACTCTTCTGTAATGCCCCATTTATACAATCTTTGTCTCCATTTCTTCCTTCCTTTCTTTTTGTTTTACTTGTATATATGTGATGCTATATATCTCTCCAATTAATATAACCACAACCAGATGTTCACTTTAGCCCACAGAGGTCTTCAAAATTACTTTTTTAATGCGAGTTTGAAAATTTGCAGCTTAGGGGTTGAGAGAAAACATGATTATTTTAGGTAACTGGTGAGATTCCAAGTTAGTTGAGTTGAGGAATGGGTTTTGGGGAATCTGTTTCCAACTAAAAAAATTTTGTTTCTTTTTTCTTTTTTTTTTTTTTGAGACAGGATCTTGCTATCCTGCACAGGCTGGCTGTGCCACCATGCCTGGTTTGAAGATTAAACACTTCTCTGTCAGATAGGGCACTGAGGGCTGAATCCAGGCCTGAAAATTAAATTGACACAGAGCAGATTCACAGGAGAAGGTATGTATACACATTTACCTCTTAACTTTTACAGAGTGGCAAAACCCAAATGCTTTTATACTAGGTCAAAGAGAAGCACATGTGAGAAAGTAAGGTCTGTGAGGAGTCTAAAGGAAAACAATTATTTTAGCAACTTCTGTTAGTGTAGAATTCTCTGAGTTCCAACTTCCTGTCCTCTGCAGGAATCTGTTCTCCTTGTATAGGGAGGGCAGCTCTCATGGGAATTTTATCTCCTGTTTTAAGAACAAGGAGGGAGGCTGGATGTGGCATATTCCCAGCACTCCGGAGGCTGCACCACCCTTACTGATGCTGAAGGGGAGCATATTTGGTGTGTGGCTGAAAACCACACCAATGAACACCTCTGCCAGCACGTGAAAGGCATGCTGAGGCAGCTCAAGTGTTTCCCTTGGCTGAGCCCCAAGACCTTGAGTGGAAATATCAACTTGGCGGCCCTGGTAGGACAAATCATGATTATATGATCACTCGCCTCCTGGCAGAAATGGAATTAATTCTTGTACACCTCGGCTTCATTTCCTGGTCTTGTGCAGACATTCACAAAAAGCTCCAAAAATTAGAAAATGGATCCCAAACACCACCGAAAGGGCTTGTAGAACTTGTCTTTAAAGATTTCAACAACCAAGATGAAGAAGGGAGAACTCTCAAAGAAAAACAGACTAAAGCCAAATATCAAATCCTGGCCTCCCTAGTTCAACCCCCAGCCAAATAACCTGC